GGTATTCTAGAAACCAATCGATACCGAACATATCATTCATAGCAAATTTACAAGTTTTAGAACTGAATAGACCCGTATAGCTAGCAGAGCGGGCTCATTTAGACATATATTCAAGCCGACCGGACGACGAGCCACTCCTAATAGTCGGCGTCTCTTCAAAACTTCATGCCTAAATGAGTTTTGACAAGAAAAAAAGGAATTTTTCGACTTTTTGTGCAAATTCTTGAGCAATCCGCCTAACTTTTGTCCACTGTACGGAGCTATAGGTATGCAAACTGCCATAACCAAAAATTGATGTAAACTTTCTATTAAAATATTTATTCAAAAAAATAGTTCCATGGACTGCTATAAATCACAGTGGATGTCTTCCACAGATCACAGACTTAATTTCCGGTTGGTGTTCTGCAAACTCATGTTCTTGGTCCACTTTGCCAACGGGTCTTCCAACACAGTATGAAGTGCCCGCGTAGCCTGGTATGGTCGCATTTTTCGGAATCAGTTGAGCGTTGAAAGTTAAGCATTCAGCAAAGTGGTAGACTCTGGAAAAACAGGTCTCTATCAAAAGATCATAATTGTGATGAGCTCGTTTTGAGAAGACAATTTGACTTAACGAGATCGTCTCAAATCTTATCTAAAAACTTACTTGGGCGTCACCATTGTCCAAAACGTACTAAATTGGTTTGGTGGAGGGTCCACAATCTTGGCGAGCGCGAACGCTGGGTCAGTGTTGGAATCGTCGAAGAGGTAGTACTGAACTTTTTGAAAATTTTTAGCGACCAAATGTACCGACTAACCTTATTCTTCAAGTTACACTCTCCTTTGATAGCTAAAGAGTTGAAAACTCTGTTTTCCTTCATAGCCTTATACACACGAGCTGCACATCTCGGAGACGTTTGTCCGTCGGCTGCATGCGTTTCGGAGATGTTGTGTTTGGTGGAAAAGGCCGCTATGAAATCTGACTCCTTCTGGTTTTCCGGAAGGCTCAACGTGGCGTTGTTGTTGGCGCAAATTGACCGGGCACGATCACGTTCGTCAAGTCGGTCGGCTGGGAAGATCTGAAATAGGAGAAAGATAATTGAACTTGAAAATTTTGAAATTGAAGAGTTTTGAAGCTTGGAACGGTTGAATTCAAGCCGAGTTACAAACTCGAAAACAAGACATTCTGTGGCAGGATGGCAGTAGAACTTTGACAGCATAGCTCAACGACTCACCCCTAAACACCAATTCTTGGTATGGTTATTTTTTGCTGTTGGTGTTCGTTTGAAATGCTGGAATCCTTCTGGACACTTCACATCCTTTCCGAAAACCGCCGGAATCGTCAGGAATAGAAGAAGCAAGGCAACCATTTTTATGGCCAAAGTTGGAAGAGGGTGTGCGGTTTTATACGCCGGGTTACAGTACTTTCTGAAAGCGGAAACCATTTTTATTGCACAACGTTTTCGTGGAGTGAGTCAGAAGCCTCCCGTGTCACTTGTTGGTAGTCTTATGTCGTTTTATGCTTCCGGGGCACAGGAAAAGTATAAAACCATTTTCCTCAAACCTCAAAACAAGCAACATCATGATCCTACTTTTCCTCTTCCCTTTGGTATTCTTTACCGGAGTCTCTGCTGTATGTCCTGACAAATTCCTACTCTTCAAGCGAGCCCCAACCGCAAAGAACAACTTTCCCAAGGAGTACTGGAGTAAGTACAGTATCTCTAGAATCAAATAGTTCCTCCCTTTTAGTTCGTCCCCTTCTTCGAAATGAATCTTCGAGAAGACGCTCGCTCCGTGTGAGCTTTCATGGAATCATCCTTGGCACTTCCTGAGAATCAACAGGAGTTAGACGCCTTAATACGCTTAAAAGGCGAGAACGTATCTGTCGCCGTCGATGGCGAATTCTCAACACGTTGTAAAGCCAAGTTTTACCGGGAGGAATATGGTTTTGGAGCGAAGACGGATTTCGAAAAAGGAGAGTGTAATCCGAAGAACGATGTGAGCACAATCTTCAAACTACCCGGGTAAAGCCTCTATCTCATTTAGCTCTTCGTGTTCGACGATCGCAACACTGATACCACTTTCTTCAAAAACAATTTCGGTCACCGAGGATTGGTTCGTACTGGCTTCAATGGCGTTCAGTTTGGGAGCACAGAAGTCAAACTCTATCGTAACCCAGTTGCGTGATGATGGGACCTGACGGACGATATGAGATAGAGTATTGCGACCTAGATCCTCATAAAAATCAGCCGGACACTCTGCATACGTATCAAGGTGCATTGTGTGGAGTTCATCCGAGATATCCGAAATGATTTATGAATAAGATTCCTGTTAAATATTCTCTTTTTTTTCATTACATCTATAACTGCCTGGAAATCGGTAGCTGAGTAACCAAATTTTCCCAAATTTTCACAGATTACCCGAAATAGCAGCGATGTACTATTCCTTAAGATTCGGTATGTACTATTCCTTAAGATTTGAAGCGTTTTTAGGATTCCTTGGATTCTAAATCCTGAATCTTAACTGTAATGAAACTAAAATGTTATAGTTTATTTAATTGAAAAAATAATCGATATCTTATTCCGGTTCGCATCCACAAAGAACTCCAAAAAATGGGACTTCTCCTACTTGTTTATCTGGCTCCTCCCCACATCTGAAAATTCAAATTTTGCTGAAACAAAATCGTAGCTGGCGCGCTATTGACGCGCCCCAAAAGCGCGCCAGTACTAAAACTTACAAAAAGTCTTTGAGGTTTCCCGTGGTGTTTATGGCTGCCAAGTTGTGAAGGGATAGACATTCAGCGATTGTGTAGATGTCTCTAAAATTTAGAATTTTTAAAAACGAAAATCTCATTTTGTTTACTTTTTCCGTGTCAAACAGGCAGTTCAGAATTTATCAAATTGCCTGAAAACTTTTGAGCGTACTAAACAGAACAAGAGCTTTAATTTTGTAGTTGACAACTTTTTTGTAACTTCGTTAGCTTTTGAGATATGTGCCTTTAAAGATACTGTCAGCATGCGACGACTATGGTAGTTTTAAAACCGCATATCTCAAAAACCAAAAAAAGATACAAAAAAGTTGTCAACTACAAAATTAAGGCTCTATTTTTGTTTAGTAAACTCTAAAAATTTCAGACAGTCTAACGAATTTCGAACTGCTTTTTTAGAACTTCAAAGTTGACAATTTTACACTGAAAATGTCAAAAATGAGATTTTTTGTCTGGTAATGTCCTATAAGTTACCAAGATCTAGTGATAGTTTTTGTTATAAATTTTAGAGAAATAGTTTCAAAAAACCTCACACATCGTCCCCCTTTTCCTTATATTTGTCGGATGCGGTTGGCGGTTCGCCAGCCCATTTGCCAAAAATGAATGTTGGATCAGTATGGTCGTCTTCCAGAATAAATAGCTAAATAAATAAAGACACTTGAAACACTTGAATAGTATCCAATAAACATACTTCTTTCCGTTTGTCGCACAGTCCTCCAAACTTTCGCATTTTCCAATCATCGAAACTTCGGCATTTCGGATTGAACACACCGTCGACGGCGACACGTTTATTGTTGTCTCTGATTAGGGCTGGAATACGGTAGTTGGGGGATTACTGTAGTTCTGAAAGCTACGGATCCCTCTCCAAGAACCATGCTTCTAGGCCGCCTGTGAGCCGAGATACAGCAGTAGGAGAGACGCAGACAACGAGGCACTCTAACTGTCTGCGTCTCTTCAAAACTTCAAAGCGCTTTATCTCAGTTCCTAGTTGGGCTAGGAAACTCATTCTTGGACAGATTTTCAGAAACTTTTTGCTTGACTAAGAAATGAGGTTGGTAGATTTCTTGGAGTTTCAGGAAGTTCTGAATTTCGGGATTTTTCAAAATGTTCAAAATTGTTGGAGTTCTGGAATTTTTCATTTATGAGCTCGGTGGCCTAGAAATCCAGAATATAAGAAACTTAATCCATTTTTGTTGATTTTGTGCTCTCTATACCTTGAAATTGTATGTTAGCTCAGCTGCTGGATTTGCATTTTTTCCGAAAAAATTTTTTTTTTGGAAAAATATTTTTTGTAGGCTAACTTTAGTCTTAACTCTTCAGCTTGGTAGCCTAACTTTTGGTGGCCTAGGATTATCTAGGCCACGCCCCTCTTACCATTAACATCATCCAATTCCTTTTGATTTTCTACATTTGTGATCACTGCGTCATAATCCATACAAACGGATCTGGCGGTTGGACGATCGTAGACATCACTGTGTTCCACGACCTGAGGGCAGAGATAGAGGTTTTCAGATTGGGAAAATAGATCCAGCTTGAAAAATTCGTCTAGAAAGTTTTAAAGCCGAAATTTTGCATTTTTGAAAAACTAATTTTTTCTAAATTTTGAAATTTTTTCAAAAATTAAAAAATGTTTTTTTTTCAAATATTTCTAGACCGAAATTTTCTGCTAAATCCGAATTTATCATCCATTTGACCCGGAATTCTCACCTTCATACACCAATGACTAGTATTTCGATTGCGGTCCGTCGGGACGCGGTCGTAGAGCTTGAATCCTTTTTGGCAGTGCAAAACTTTTTCAGTGGAATTTGAGGCATCAGCCGCGAAATTTGAAAATAGTAGGGAACAAAAAATAAGGAGTTTTAGAATCATTTTTTGAAGAAATTGTCAGAATTTGGAGTTTAGAATTCAGAAGACGTCGGAAAATTTGTTTAGTTTTTCTGACTGTCAGACATTGTGATCACATTAAATTTTCCATTTAAATCAGATTTTTTCTGTTGACGGTCTACAGTCTTTAGTCTTAACATCATATCATTGAGACATTTCTCAAGGTTTCTTGTTTTTTTCTCTGCCTCTCTCCTTTTGTTGATTCATAGATTCGGTACAAAAAATTTCGTCTCGGAGGAGGACAATAAAATTAGGAGAATTTGGTGAATAAGACTAGACTGTTGATTTTTACTATTTGGAAACTTTTGAACTTGAAGATATTGGTTGAATTGATTTTAGAAAACCAAACTAGAGTCTTCTTTTTGAAAACTTAGAAATTCGAAAACTGGGAAAAATTAGAAATATTTTCCAAGCCACTGGTTTGCTGAAATTCGATAAATTTCAAAAAATTCGAATTTTCTGGAAAACAGAAAATTTCTGAAATTTCGGTATTCCAAAAAAATTCCAAAGTTCCAAAATTGTAACATCCTGGAATTCTGAGAATCTGAGATTCAGAGATTCAGAGATTCTGAGATTCTGAGATTCTGAGATTCTGAGATTCTGAGATTCTGAGATTCTGAGATTCTGAGATTCTGAGATTCTGAGATTCTGAGATTCTGAGATTCTGAGATTCTGAGATTCTGAGATTCTGAGATTCTGAGATTTTGAGATTCTGAGATTCTGAGAAACTGAGATTCTGAGATTCTGAGATTCTGAGATTCTGAGATTCTGAGATTCTGAGATTCTGAGTTTCTGAGATTCTGAGATTCTGAGATTCTGAGATTCTGAGATTTTGAGATTCTGAGATTCTGAGATTCTGAGAAACTGAGATTCTGAGATTCTGAGATTCTGAGATTCTGAGATTCTGAGATTCTGAGATTCTGAGATTCTGAGATTCTGAGATTCTGAGATTCTGAGATTCTGAGATTCTGAGATTCTGAGATTCTGAAATTCAGAAATTCAAAAATTCCGAAAAATATCTGAGATATCCTGAAACTCAATTTTTCCGGAAATTCAGGTTTTCAGAATTCCAAAAATATTAGAAAACTTCAAACTTCATCCCTAATTCTCAAATCCAGCACAACAAAAATTATGAGAATCTGAAGTTCCAAACATCTCAAATTCAGGAATTCCAGAAATCTCTGAAAATCTGAAAAATCCAGAAACTTCTGAAATTTCAAATATTATCGAAATTCAGAATCCAAGTTTCCATCCGAAATTCCCCATTTCCTTTATTTTCCAGAATTTAAAAAAAAATTGGTCCTAAACATTTTGTTATTGTTGTTTTTTTACCCTCCATTGTCCTATTTGTTTTTCTCGGTACTCTCTGCGTCTCTCAATTTCCCATACTCTCTCACCTCAAGGGAGCTCGGATGTCCTGTAAAAAAATATCAAGAGATTCTAGAGAGACGTTCCGGTCCAAATGGGTTGGCAGGTGTCTAGAGTGTGCGAAGCGGAGAGACGCAGAGAAGAAGAGAGACAAATATTCCGGTTGGGTTGTTTGCGGACGGTCCGCCGGCGGCCCGACCGTACAATTTTTTTCCTGGCATATTGCTCAGGACTATCCGGGAGCACCAAACCCTCTATTTCTGGTCTTTTTGGGAGGCAAATTAGGCTCCGCCCATATATTTTTGGGGTTGTTTCATGGATTAGGTGTGATCAATTCGCACTTTCATTTTGTTTAGGTTTTCGGGAAGGAAAATGCGCTCTAATGAGAAATTTTTGTTTTGTAGTTCACAAATTTTCTGCATTTTGTCGTAAGATTCAATGTTTAGGTTTTTCAAACTTTTGCTGATTTTTCTTATTCATTTTCAGATGTTGTAATGCTCAAATTCGGGGGTTTTACATCTTTTTAGTACGGAATTGACGTTTTCCGAGCTTTTCTGAAATTTTCTGCATTTTGTCGTAAAATTCGGTGCTTGAGAATTGATTTTTCGACTCTTCCTGGCTTTTCTGTTGATTTTTAGCTGTTCTAGAACTCAAATTCGGCTTGTTCATGACTTTTTACCCCTGAATAGACGTTTTCCGAGCGTTTGCACAAAAACGGAACTACCGTAATCCGAAATGCTCAGAAATGGCGCTAATGATTCCGGAAAGATAGTTTTGGAGGTTGTTTTCGATGCTGAAGCTAAAGATCATAGTGGAATTTTGCAAAAGTCAATAGTTGATTGAGAAAGTTTGAGTTTTCTGACTTTTTGAAATTTTCTGCGATTCGCCTTGATTTTCAGATATTCTAGACCTTAAATTCAGCTTTTTCCTGAATTTTTAAAATAAAAAAAAATAGAAAAAATAGACGTTTTCCAAACGTTTTACCATTTTTCTGCATTTAGTCGTAAAACTTGGTGTTTGCACAGAAACGAAGTTACAGTAATCCGGAAAAGCTCAAAAATGACTGTGGAGGTTGCCAGAAAGTGTTTTAGGAGTAGTTTTTTATGCTGGAACTGAAAATCATGGTGAAAGTTTGCATGAATCAATTGTTTTCTGAGAAAATCGCGATTTTTCATTAACAACGAAACTTGAATTTTTGAAACTTCAGAATTTTCAATTTCAAATCAAATTTGAGTCATTCTAAAACCTATTAAAATGACTGTGGAGGTTGCCAGAAAGTGTTTTAGGAGTAGTTTTTTATGCTGGAACTGAAAATCATGGTGAAAGTTTGCATGAATCAATTGTTTTCTGAGAAAATCGCGATTTTTCATTAACAACGAAACTTGAATTTTTGAAACTTCAGAATTTTCAATTTCAAATCAAATTTGAGTCATTCTAAAACCTATTAACCTAACAAAAAACTAAAAATAATCTTGAAAGTTTTCGATCTACACCTGGACTTTTTTCCCTAAAAAAACCATATCCTCTCCAAATGATTTGTTTACATTTCACTCATTTCTCTATAAAATCCCTCCACCGAATGACACAAGAAAGCCAAGCCCAGATCCACAAACATTCGCAAATTTCTTGACATTTCTTGTTTCTCTGCGTCTCTCCGGATTGTGTACTCTCTCGCCGGTTCCAATTGCACGTCACTTTTTTGAATATTCCAGTTGAGAAATCTGGGTCTCTCAATTTCCCATACTCTCTCACTTTTCACGTCATTCTGTTTGTTTTGAGGTGTTCTCCCGGTTTCTGAGTAATTGAATTAGCAAATACGCTTTACTAGACTTAATATATAACAATTAGATTTTAGATTTTTCATTAGAGCGAACTTGTCAGATATTGTTTTTTTGCAATTTATAGGATTTGGGTTTTTTATTTAATTTCTCGTTGATTTTCACATGTTCTAGTACTCAAATTCAGCTTTCTTATGCTTTTTCACCCCTAATTAAATTTTTTCCGAGCTTTTTTGAATTTTTCTGCATTTTGTCGTAAAATTCGGTGTTTGCACAGAAAACGAAACTACAGTAATCCGAAATTCCTGAAAATGACGCTAGATGTTGGGAAACACATTGCTAGGGGTAGTTTTTGATGCTGAAGCTGAAAATTAAAGTGAAAATTTGCAAAAATCAATGATTGATTGAGAAAATTTGAATTTTAAAATTTCGGAAAAAGTATCCGACTTGCTGAATTTTCTGATATTCTTGACTGAACAATTGAAAATTTCGTTTTTTATTGACTTCCAATGTATTCCCAATTTCCACCAATTCCCAAGAATTCTCAATAGAGCAAACTTGCAAAACTCAAAAAACTTTAAAAATTCAAATTTTCGATGTTTTCCAGGTCCACCAATCACCACGAATGAAGGTGTTCGCATTGGGTCTCGACGAGAATCAAAAGGCCGAACAGCGTGCCGATGAGATGAAGAATGACACCAAGATTCCGATTGATTCGGTGTCTTCTGGAGTTCCACTCCAGACGACGTCACCAGCCATCGTATTGGCAAAAGCGCCAAGACGCCATTTCACTGGATTCACTTGTGGACGTAGGTTGAGAAAGCGTAGATGAATGATTCTGAAATTCTGAGCTTCTGAGAATGAGAAATTCTGGATTCCTGAATTCACGGATTTTCGAATTTCCCAGATTCAGAGTTTCTGATTTTTCGAATTTCTGAACTTTCGAACTTCTGAATTTCTGAATTTCTGAATTTCCGAATTTTTGAATTTCTAAATTTCTGAATTTCTGAATTTCTGATTTTCCGAATTTCTGAATTTCTGAACTTTTGAACTTCTGAATTTCTCAATTTCTGAATTCCCGAATTTCTGAATTTCTGAATTTCTGAATTTCCCAGATTCAGAGTTTCTGAATTTCCGAATTTCTGAATTTCTGAATTTCCGATTTTCGAATGTTTTCGCATTTTCTGATTTCTCCAGAATTACGGCATTGATTTTTTTTTTGATTTTTTTCAATGGAGTTTCTATTTTTCAGAAATTCAAAAATTCCAAAATTTCAAATATTTTCCAAAATTCAGAATATCTCAAATTTTCAGTCCTCTCCTGGTTTATTGGTGCTTGTTGCCTTGTTCTTCTCTGTCTTGCAATTTCTGAAGTTGCCTATCATCGTCAACGTGATCAAGCATTCCTCCGTCTGAAGTGGGCGGAGCTTCGTCAGAGAATGCTCGGTTACGAATTGCTCTCTCAACAACAGGAATTGGATCGGATGGCATTGGAAAAACAGTCACCGTGAGTTTGAAAAGTTTTGGATTCCAAAGTTTTCAAAAATCACAGGTTCCTAAAATTTCTGTAATTCCGAAAATGAAAAAAAACACTTTTCTGAAATTCTAAAACTTTGAAAAAATGTTTTTGCAATTTCGATTTTTTAAATGTCTCCCTTTTCCAGTGTCGAATCGCTTCCCCTCCGTCGAAGCGACGATCCAATCAAACCAAAAATCGTCGACGTCATCCAGAATTCAGAATCTCCCGTTTCGGATTCTAAACCATCTTCAGATGACAAGCCAGTTCCACTAATTTTCAATAATGACTATGCAAATGAGCAAAACGAAAAATTTGGATTCCTTCAAAATTTGATGGACAAAATTCGAAAACATGCACAGAGCATGGGATTGAACGGTGATATGCAAGTGCACGTCGTCGAGGTGAAGCCGATTTTCGGAGGAGAAAATGGAGAGGACAAGGAGCACAATTTCGATGAGAACGCATCGGTAAGAGCTGGAAAAGGGACACGAAAACTGAAAAAATAAGACACTTTTCGCCTCCCCGGATACCCCGAAGAAGCTATTCCAAAAATTTAGCGATTTTCAACACAATCGTTTTTCCGACAGGTCGAAATTCAATGCTAACCTTGGTTAACTTGGGTTAAAACCGAAGACAGCTGCGCGCGGCGGCGACTACACCTGCCGTGTGTCCCGACATCTCGCGGGTTCCGCCGCCCGCTATGTTTTGTGTGCAAAGTGGGCGGGGCTTAGCGGGAAATGTGAAATTAGCAGGGAATGATGGTTTTTGATAGTTTTCAATCGGGAAAAAAGTTTTTAGGGGTTAAAAAAGACGACTAAAACGATTAAAGTGCCTGTGAGGCTTGTTTTTCAAGTCTTTTAGTGAAATAGTTAGTTTTTTTTTCAATTTTTCAATTTTCTTTAAAACAAATTTTTCAAAAATTTTCAGTTCGAGCAATCCCTTGCTGATGGATTTGGAGAGTTTGCCATGCCACATCAAGACTTTGGAGGACCAATCAACGATGCTTATTCTGATGAGTAAGTTACAAATGGTCTAGTGACCAAGAAATACGGATTTCTAGGCCACCAACGTTTTTCGGGAAACTTCTTTATCTTTTTTCAGTCGTCTAACATTTGATCGTCACTCTATGAGACGTCCGTTTGGACCATTTAACAGGTTGGGTGAATTTTATTGGTACTAACAAGAAATATGGAAACCTGGGAATTCTGGATATTTGAAAATTCAGAAATTCAGAAATTCAGAAATTCAGAAATTCAGAAATTCAGAAATTCAGAAATTCAGAAATTCAGGAATTCAGAAATTCAGAAATTCAGAAATTCAGAAATTCAGAAATTCAGAAATTCAGGAATTCAGAAATTCAGAAATTCAGAAATTCAGAAATTCAGAAATTCAAAAATTCAGAAATTTAGAAAAAAAAATCCGGGGTGTTACAAATCCGAAATTTCCAAAAATCCGAAGAAAAACTTCAGAATTTCCCAAATATCTGAAATTCCAGAAAAATTTTTTTTGGAATTTTTCCAAAATTTTGTTTTTTTTTCAAAAAATTTTGAAATTTCAAAATCGCTCCAAAATATTCAATTTATACCGTCGTAGCAATTCTGAATTCCCCTCCCAAAACATCAGAATTTTCAGATTAGACGGCACATCCTCTTCAATATAGTAAGACTACATGGACCAGAACTTCCAGGGACCACAAGGACCCTCTCAAGACCCAAGGATGATCCCTCAAGGACCATCCCAATGGCCAATGCCACAATTCGGCTTCCAGCAACAATCAGCCAATTGGTGGGGACAACAAGGACCACGCCAACAGGGAGCAATGGAAATCCAAACTAATCAATGGAACGGCTTTCCTCAGGTTCCAGTGAACCAGCCATGGTATCAACCTTATGAGGCTCCAAAGGAATCCCAAAATGTTCAAAATTCCGAGAATATGGGACCATGGTCCGCCCAGAACGATGACTGGATGATTCAGAAGCATGAACGTCTTCAGAATTCTGAAAACCAGAATCAGATGCCCTTCCAACCCAATCCATCGGCTTCTGAGTTTCAGACTCCAATGGATATGATCTCTGATGACGTCGCCCCGAAATCCACACCTATCCAGAAGACATCAGAAGTTCAAACGTCCCAGGAGAATGTGATTTCTCCCGATCAATCATTGGAGACAATTGATGGAAAGTTCCTTCCAATTCGCTCGGATGACACCCCGGTTGACTCCCACCTCTTCCAGATTGACGACCCATGAGCTTCTAGGGAGCCTTATTGCTTATTGCTCCCATTGTAAATTATTTTGTCTCCGGTTAGATGATGTGATGTCTCTCCTTTATTAGTGCCCCGAGATCTCTCATTTATTCACCAAAAAATGTTTTTTGTTCCACACACACATCACAAGAGCCCATCCGATGCATTATTTCTTCGCATATAATAAATTGTACACTATCGAAATTTTTTTCTTTGTAAAGAGGCTAAAATGCTGAAAACAAGCACTTTGCACTTTGCAAGCACACTACGCCTCCCCGGATACCCCGAAGAAGCAGTTCCAAAAATCTCAACACAATCGTTTTACCGAAACGTCGAAATTCAGTGCTAACCTTGGTTAACTTGGGTTAAAACCAAAGAGAAGAGTGGGCGGGGCTTAGTGGGAAATGGGAAATTAGTGGAAATAAAGGGTTTTTGATGGATTTCGAACGGGAAAAAAGGTTTTCGATGTGAAAAAAGACGACTGAAACAATGAAAATTCCGAAAATTTGCTTTTCTGTCCAAAATTGAAAATTTTGAAAAATATCGATTTTTTTCAAAATTCCTGGAACTGCTCAAAATGTGCCTGAGAAAGTGTGATTCGTTGTTTGTTTTTGTACAAAAAGTTTTCGAAAAGTGTGTAAAATTGCCAAATTTTGAGAAAATTAAATCTTTTTTGGTATTCTCCACAGTCCAAGCCTTCTCTACCGATCTTTATTACACATTAAACTAAAAACAACGGGAAAACTCTATATCGGGAATGATGGGAGATGCACAAAAAGAGATACAAGGTTCATTTTTTGGAAGCTAACAAAATAGTACTATTATGATCAAGATGTTAGAACGACATGTTTCAAGAAATAGTGAGAGAGAAAAGAAGAGAGATAGAGATCAGTTGAATTAGTCGAGCATGTTGAAGCGATCCTTGAGAAGGCGTGGAGTGCGAGTGACGCCGCCACGAGTGCGAAGACCTCCACGACGTGGTGAATCGGATGGCGGTTCTGAAAATTAAAAATCGAAAATTGTCGTCAGGTATAATGTAATAGTACGTAAAAACTTTAGCAGAAACTCACGTCTATCGAGCCCTCTGAGGGTCTGAGATGGCGTTGCTACCTTGACTCTTCCTCCAGCCACCAACGGCGAGAACGTGGAGCCAAGACGATGTCTCGAGTAGACAGATCCCTCTTTGTTCAGCTGACTATGTCTTCTGGGCGATGCTCCGCCGTGCATGCTAATGAGTTTCGGTGAAATCGAGTCAGTACACAATGCGGATTCGGTGCGAAGCATGTCCATCGATGAGCCAGCGTGACGGAGAGCAGCGAGACGCGGCGAGCGTTCCATGTTTCTGGAATTCGATCTTCTCGTCGGAGGTCTTCCCGCCTTTCGCGCCATAATCTCTGGATCATCGTCGAGTCTTCTGACGACGTTGACGTCGTTGTGAGTGTTCAGACGAAGACGTTTCTCTGGAGACAAGACCAACTTGTCGTTCATCATCGCGCCGAGCTGCTCGTCCTCCTGAAAAATCGATGTTTTTGGAAATTTTTTAGAATTCACTCGATTCTTACATTCTGCGGAGCACGTCTCTTCGTTGCACTTTTCGACACCACCGGCGGATACTTGAACCGCTCATCGAGGCTTCCAAACTGAAAAAATTATAGAAATTCTGATTTAAAGGAGGCCAGATACCAAAAAAAAGTTTTCCTGATAATTTGCATAGAGATCCCCCATGAGGGGTTGAACTCATGACAAGCAGCTCAGGGGGTACAGCGCTGCTACCGGCTGAGCTACGGGGGCGCGAAGGCGCCTGACGACCGATGGTCTACATAAGCGCGGCGCGAATTCGTCCCCCGAACTGTCCCCCGAAATTTTTGCTGTCTCGCCTCCTTTAAACTTAAATTCTGAAACTCACATCGCTGGAGGCGGACGTGGAATAGCCGGACAGCTCGCCCTCTTGTGACATATGTGTCAAACACTATAGAGCTTTCTCTGAAAAATGAAGAATTAAGCGGAAATTCTGAATTTTTCGAACGAAAAAACGATGAAAAAAGCTTCAAAAAGTGAGGAAATTCAGCAGGAAATCGAAAAATTGCATATTCTGCGATTCCCTTCAAAGATAGGGGTTTCTCTCCCAATTTTCTGGGAAATTGCTTGAAAATTAGTTAAAATCTTTGGAATTTCAATTTTTCTGAAAAAAATATACAGAAAAAACCACTAAAAACGCTGAAAATCCCTTAAAAATCGCAAAAAAAAAGATTTTTTATTCAATTTAGCTGCGTACCTTACCGTAATCCTTGTTTCCGTGGCGGGACTCAAGAGAAGTTTTAACCTATGCGCCTTTAATTTTATTTAATTTTCTGACATTTTTTGGCGAAAAAACCAGAAAAACAAGTCATTTTCGTCGTTTTCCGGGCTGAAATATACGAAATTCTGTTTGTCGATAAATCTAAAACTCAGAAATAGTGGGAAAATCCCTAGAAATCCCCGATTTCAACATTTTTCCAACTTGTAATGATTATTCACGATGGAGGGCTCAAATCCTTCTGATATTCTCCCAGAAAAAGCCGTGGAGCCGAAAGTGAGCATTGGAAAATGCGAAAAAATCAAAATTTTCTAGATTTTTCCAGGGAAAACTCCTGAATCTCTGGTCCCGATGCATCGCAAAGCCCGGAATTTTCATCGGCTCATCAATCGTTCGTATGTGGAGCCACGTGGATTTCAAGCAGCGTTTAGCTTGCGCGACAGTTAGAAAAATCGATTTGGCATCGAAGTGAATCGAAAATTCCGGAAATTTTGGCCTAAATTTCGAATTTCAGATGCATCAAGCGTCTTCCAGATGTGTCGCTGAGCTGCCACGTCAGCGCTAGTTTTTCGTTGAATTCGGCGAAAAATACGGAAAAAAATATGGGCGGTTCCGAAGAGGATTTTGGTGGGAAATTTGAATTGCTGAAAAAATCGATTTTTCCGTTTTCAGAAAAACGAGAACGATGCCGAAAAATTGCGAGAATAGAATACGAAATTCGAGTTTGGAGCGTCGACTGGAGGAGCGAAGCAGCCGAGTTTGAGAGACGATTTTTTGAACTAATTCTGATTTTTTGTACTTTTTATTCTCGGCGAGCAAACATTATGTTTTCTGAAAATTTTTACTAAATTTCCCGAAAAAATTCACATATTTCCCATCCGTTATTTGCACTTTTCTCTAACGCTTTGTAACTTTTTTTGCACAATTTATCTATTTTTAAAAATTGAAAAAAAAATAAATAAGGCACACAAAATACAAGAACACACAGAAAAAGAGAAAATAATATGGGAGAAAAGTGAATTTTTGTTGTTATAGAATTTCCAATTTTTTGTCTTCCGAACCAGCTGGAATCTCATTTGGCACCTCTGGTTGACTTTGAAGAAGTGCTGAAAAATGGAATTTTTGAAAATATTTTTTTTAATCTGAAATTTCAGAATCTAAATTTAAAAAAAAACCTACGAATGTTGTCGACTATCCGTGCCAAACCGTCCAAAGAGTTTCGCCGACGCAGATCGATGGCTGTAATTTTCGGAAAAAATTAGAAAAAAAATTGTTTGTCGAAAATTTTGAATTTCCCGCCAAATCATTTGCTGGATTTAAGACTAACTTAGCTTTAAGAAGAAGCTCACCGTTCCCGAGCTTATGGTGATGATGGTCCCGATCCTCGTCGGTATCAGAGAGATCCTCGTCATCGTAGACGTTCGGACCGTCCGGATTGTAGCCGGCGTTGGCGAAGTGAGACGATGTCTGAAAATGGTTTTGGTTTGGCGGGAATTTGAATTTTTGAATTTTCAGATTCTGAATTTTCCAAGTTTCGGAGTTTCAAAAATCGAAATTTTGAGTTTTTCAGAATTTTCATAATTTTTTGGAAAATTTGAAAATTTGGAGTTTTTTCAGAAATTTTTGAGTTTTCAGAATCTTTAAAATGCCTCAAATTGTGGAATTTCAAAAATTTAAGTTTCAATTTTTCAAGTTTTTCAGTTTTTTTAATTCGGCAGATACAATACCGTAAAACCTGTAATAGAAGGGGCCCCCTAATTTTCAACTTTGAGCCAATTTATCTCGTTTCCTGATAAAGATATAAAACATTAGTCAACTGATAAATTGTTTATCATAATATTCGTAACATTTTATCAGTTGACACATTTTTGATATCTCTTATAGGAGCTGAGATAATTGAGCTCAAACTTGACTCTTCTATTACAGGTTTTACGGTTTTTTTCGGAATTTTCGAATTTCAGCATTTTCAAATTTCTCGACGTTTGGAATTTCTTGAATTTTCGACTTTTTCGAATGTTCAGAATTTCATAAAAATTGGCAAATTTCAGAATTTTTTTCTGATTTTCAGAACTTCTCAATGTTTGGAATTATTTGAAAATCAAATTTTCTTTAGAATTTCCGAAATTTTTAGGAATTTCCGAATTTTTCAAATACTACGCTAGATACTCGGCCATGAACTCCTTGCCTAGCTTTTCCTAGGCCACCTCCACGAATCAAACTTACAATATAATCATGTGGTGCGGCACTAATCGGTTGTGTCATTTGCAAATGATGGTTCTGGTCCATAATTTTAGTAGTCTTTCCAACACTTGTCAACATCCTCTCAAGCGTATTAATATAATCAATTGCTGATCTCAAAATTTCAACTTTCGGAAGACGTTGATTCGGATTCGGGCACGTCCGTTGTTTGACGACTTCAAATGCTTCATTCACTTTTCTCAAACGTCTTCTCTCTCGCATCGTTGCTGCCTTCCGACGGTCCACTGAAAGAACGACTAGAGATTTTAGGGTCCCCCAATTCAAAAAGTATTCTTTCCAGACCCCCTCATAAACTCAAGTGAAGGGGGTCTGGGGAAACAGTATCTCACATTTTGTTCTCCGTGGAGCATTTGCTCCAGCCACCAACGTGGCAATTGGAGCAGTCTCATCTCCAGAATGAGCTACACCGTCGCCAAGTAGATCCGTTGAAGTTGGATCATTGTTGTTTGATCCACCGGAAGACACTTCTTTTTCCTGTTTGATAATAATTGGTTTAATATCTGCGGCTACTGTAGGCAAGGCGGCGAAGTCTTGAGTGCGGGCTACATTGAAATTCGAGAAATCCGGGTAGAAAGACGAGGATCCCGGTTGCCCGTATGTTGGTAGGTAGTAGGTAGCTGGTTGGTTTCTGAAATAAAAAATTAGAAATCGATTTCTAGGTTCTCAAAAATTTCAGATCACAAATTTCTCAAAAATTTTTTCTCAAAATCACAATTTTCTTCAAAATTTAGTTTTCAGAAATTTCAGTTCTCCCGGCGGTCTCTCCTCAAATTCTGCTTTGAACGGTTTAATTAAACCTCTCAAGTATCCCCTAATGAAATCTGATACAGTACCCCTTTGTCCCCATTGCTAATCCCCCAAGGTACCGTCGGTTTTTCTTTTTCCTCTCGGGAAGCTTTTATCAGAAAATACACTTTCTCTCTTCTGCTATATACCTATCTTATCCCAACAGTTGTCACCCCCGAAAAACGTGTGTAATGTTCTCTAACCACTCTCTCCCATCTCCACACTCTCTCGCCATGGAGCACAGAAGCAGCAATCCATCAACGCGTCGTTAAGAGGCAAAGAAAAGAAGCAAGAGGGAGATGAGGAATTTGGGAAAGGGTTACGGTAGCCGGGGAAAGTTCTAAAAGCTTCTAGAAAAGGATTTCAGAACGCTTCTCCCTCTACTCTCCCTCTTATCACTTATCACTACCACGACAATTGTTTCAGCGGCGGGGGATCATCACTTGGGGGACACAGTTGGTCCGTCCCCAGCTGCTCCAGTTTGAAAAGATGAGCACAAGTCAGTTGCCACGCGCAGCTGCAACTATATCAGGTGCTCCTCCAGCCGCTTCCACTTTTCATTTCATTTTCTCGCTCACCAGGCGGAACTTTTTGTTCTATTCAATTTTTTATACTTTTTCTGATATTTCTTAACATCCCTAACAGTAACATTTTGATTCACTAGAAGGGCTTCAATATGGCTCAAAGTCGAAGCTACCAGCTACAAGGTCGCATTTTGCTCTTGCGCTCTTTGAGCCAAATTTTCTCGGTTCCTGTAAAAGATATCAAAAAATGGTCAACTAACAAAATGTTACTGATATTATGATCGATATTTTATCAGTTGGCAACTTTTTGATATCATTAGTAGAAACCGAGATAATGAAGCTCACGTTTTAAGGTCTAGATCATCCAAAATTGCCCCTGGAAATTCTAGTCACAACCCCTAAAAATTAAATTTCTAGATCATTTTGAACACTATAAATAACCAATACAAATTTTCAGTTTCCCAATTTACAAAACCTAGGCCATGAATTGATTTCCTCGGCCACCGCCTGGGTCATTTGTCACCTCACTTGGACCCTTGTACTAGACGACTGACAAATTAATAAAATATGGGGAGTCCCACCACCAGATGCCTCCTCCTCCTTCCCTTTGTTCTGCTTGTCCATCAAACCGAACAAGTTCATATAATAAAAAACGGGCGGCTCATCTTTTTTCCTGTCATCTCTCCACCTCTACCCCCTTTTTTGATTTACGGCTAGCCAGAGTTATGCTCACTAATTTTTTTGGTTACTATATATTTTGGGTGGGGGAGGCAAAATGTGTGTTTACAAAATTTTGGACAAAGTTTTAATCCTTTTCTCCTTCTTGGCTTCTATAGTTCAATTTGGGAGGGGGAATAAACATTAAGAGGGGGAGGGGGTCTTTAAAGGGGCATGGAAATGTTGGGAGTGAGTCAAAAACTTTGAACCATCGTAACTTTTTCCAAAATGGCCTAGCTAGCTTACTTTCACTTTATTGGAATGGGAGTTTTTGTATTTTTTACAACTAAAAATTCAAAATAGTTTCGTCCGAAAAAATCTGGGTGAAACATACCGTAAACACTCTAATAGAATGCCACCCCAATCGTCAAATTTGAGACTATGTATCTCATTTTCTGTAAGAGATATCAAAAAGTGTTAACTGATGAAATGTTGCTGATATTAGGATAAACATTTTATTAGTTGACAACTTTTTGATATCTTTCAAAAGAAGATAGATATATAGGCTCAAAGTGGACGGTCCGGGTGGCGTTCTACTTGAGTGTTTACGGTATCTTTCCAAGCCCCATATCTCAACTCACAATGAACCTAGTACATTGATTTTTAACTCATTTTATCAGAAATTTCATCTTCTACAGTTTGATATCTTTCAACTAACCTATAAATATCGTTATACTGCGTATTGACATAGTCCAATGCTTGTGGCACGGGCGTCGCGAACGTCGTCAGTGTGGTGATGTCGTTGGCGGTGACACGTGGCGACGGTGTGTAGTAGATGTTGGTGTCGTAGGTTTCAGCATTGGCTGGAGCTGTTGACGTTTCAGTTTGATTCATTTTATTGTCTGAAAACTTGGGAAATTGGGAAATTTGAGGCGTTTGTGAGTCATGGAACAGATTAGAGAGATCAGCTGATGAGGAGGAAAAAAAGAAGAAGAGGATGTGATTGAAAACCAAAAATCCTGAAAGTTCTGGATTTCGAATTTTCAGATTTTTTTCATCCGGAATGATTAGGATGATTCAGAGTTTCAGAATCAGACGATCTTTAATTATTTGAAAATATCAAAAATCCAAAATTTTCAAAGTTACATATCTCGGTTTAAAATTGTGCTAGAGCTATGAAAATTAGCGGGAGACTCAAGCTAAACTCTGGAATTTCAAGTTTCTAAAAGTTTCAAATTCTGAAAATTGCCTTGAAATTCCCAAAACTTATCATTTTCTAACTGATCTAACTCTTGTCAAAGTCAAAAGAAACAAGTGATTTTTAGTACATTTTGAAGCTCAGAATCCATATTTTTAATGACAAAAATGCAGAAACAAATTTCAAAATTAGGAGCAACTTCTCAGAATCTTAAATTTGATCTACTTTCTCTAACTAAAGATAACCGTAACTTGGCTCAAAATGTACCTAGGATCTTAGTTTTCATCTTGAAACATAGGAATTTTTGTCTTGAAAAATTTAAGTTTTGCCAAACTACAAACTCCTCACGACTCTACTTCTAGGTGCTCAACTTATCCCCTAACCTAGAATGTTTACATTCATTCGAATCCAAATTGCCAAGAAAATTCAAAAATGAGCCTTAAACATCCCTAACACTTATCAGATTTTCGAGAAATCCAAAAAAAGGTTGTCATACAAGAGACAGTTGTGTAGGTGATTCGAGCAGGCGCGCGCGGCACAACTGACACCCGCCGATGAGCCGCCAACTGACTGTCGTCTTCTTTTTTCGTTTCTCTGCGTCTTCGCACTCTCTCAAATGGTCCCTCCTTTCAGGACTCCACCCACAAAGATTCTACGGTAGGGGAAGGAAGGTGCTCAGGATGGAGAAAATGAAGAAGATGAACGATTGGGCGAAGAAATGAGAATTTGCAGAAATCGGCTCTTCATCCCTTCTTCTAATTGCTTCTCAAAAAGATTTTTATCAGAAAAAGAAGAAAAAGACAAATGGAAGAAAAACCCGAAAATTTTGAAGTTGGGATTTTTTCAAAATCTTCGTGGGAAAAGGAATATAACCTATGATTATCGTGGAATCTGAAATTCTGGAAAAATACATGAAACATCGATTTTTGACCTCGTTTCTTGGTTTTTTTATATATTTTTTCAATTTTACAGTTTGAGAATAAAACCTGAAATTCGAAAAAAAAATTGACATTCGAAATGTTCTGAAAATAGACGCAGTATCTCAAGTTTGAAAAGAATTTAAAGAACTTTAAAATGTCTATAAAATTGGAAATTCCAGTCATATATGACCCCAAAACAACTTTAAGTAGTTTCGGGTTCATATATGATTTTAAAAAAATATAATTTCAAATTCTATGGCTGAAAATTAAATGAAAAGTTTTCTTCAAAATTGTGCCAGAGTTCTGAAAATTAGTGTAAATTTAAGCTGAAATCTGGAATTTTAAGGTTCCAGATGTGTCAAAATTCAAAATTTGGTTGGAAATCCTCAAAAATTGCTCATGCGAAAGTGATAATTTTTGATGGATTTTGAAGTTGGAAATTTCTAGTTTTTGAAAAATTTTACAATAATTAAAACAGACGAATTTTAAGCTAATTTTCAAGCTCTCTAAAACTTGATCTACCGCAAACACTCTAATAGAACGCCACCCGGACCGTCCACTTCGAGCCTATATATCTCCCTTCTTTTGAAAGATATCAAAAAGTTGTCAACTAATAAAATGCTTATCATGATATCAGCATCATTTAATTAGTTAATCACTTTTTGATATCTCTCACAGAAAATGAGATCCATGGGCTCAAATTTGACGATTCGGTGACGTTCTTTTAAAGTGTTTATGGTATATTCAAAAAATGCACCTAGGAACTTGGTTTCTACTAATATAGGAAATTTAAAGCAAATATTGATTTAAAAAAAAACATAGTGTCATTATCTACAAAGTTTTCAGATCCATTCAAATTCTCATTTCCTGGAAAACTCAAAAACGAACCTTAAATTTCTTCAAGCCTTAGCCGATCCCCAAAAAACCAGAAACAAAACATCACACAACGAAAAGTGTAAAAGTGCTACACCCTTCAAAGGTACATCTGTTTAGTTATATTGCTTAATCCAATCACTCTATCCCTCAAAAATCCATAAACAAATAAAGGACCTTGGAGTCTATTACACCCATGTAATTCCTTCTTAAGGACCCCATCATTCTGGTGCTAGCTGTCAGGTAGACCCCCTTCTCCCTCTCCCTCTAGTCGCTCAATTAAAAGAGAGGATTCGGGAGTTGCGCAACAGTTGTCACTGCCGGGATGTTTCGAAAGTCCGCCAAAGGACTCCGTACCGCCCGACTGGAAGGTTTGGATACTTTGAAGATGCCGAACTTTAAAGGATTCGGAAACAAAAGCTAAGGGTCCTGTATAATGAAACATTGTAGTTTCTAGGGAAGAAACCCCGGTCTATTTCGAAAAACAAGATCTGTATGTGAAATTCGAAAAATTGGACACGAAAATCTTTTTTTTTGTAGGCGCATATCTCAAAAACTACGGTAGCTAGAAAAAATTTATTCAATTACAAAAAAATAAGCCCTTATTTTTGTCTAGTGTACTCTGAAGTTTCACATAGATCGCACAAATCTGGGTTAATTTATAAGGACCTCGAAGTTTATCGTTTTAAAAACTTCACTTAGATATGCACTGTTTAAACGCGCATATCTCAAAAACTACTGTAGCTAGAAAAAAGTTGCTAACTACAAAAATGGAGCTCTAATTTTGTTTAGTATATTCCAAAATTTTCGAACACATCGAAAAACGCCAATATTTGTTGTAGGGCTCCAAAGTTGACCGCTTTTGAAAAGTTTGCAGGCACCCTTTTCTAAAGGCGCATATCTCAAAAACAACGGTAGCTAGGAAACAGTTGCCAACTACAAAATTGAAGCTCTGGTGTTGTTCCACATTTCCTCGAATTTTAAAAAGAAGCTGACAAATTTTACTAACTTTTTCGAATTCCTTAACACTGTCATTTAATATTTATCAAACTGCTCTTTTCCTCCCTTTCTGCTCCGACATACCTGTCGGGAATTGCGCAACTGTACCCCCTTTTGAACCGATCCGCCTGTCCCACCAGTATCTACCGCCCATGCTCAGGTAGCCAGACGCGCGGTACAATTCTTTGAAGTTTCGGAATTATGTAAAAGAAGTAAAAAGAGATGGAGCCGATTGCACACCTTTTACTTTAAACGAATAGATATATGGGTGTTAAACTAGTTGGAGAAGGGAAACGAGAGGTTAATTGTTTATGAGACTTTTTAAAAAGAGCAAAAAGGGCAATAAAAACAGTTGGTAGCATGTTTTACATACTGTGAAAAAGATCTTCCAAAACTTTTTCAGTGAATACAATTAGTTAGGATGAATTGAATCGACAAAAAATTACAAAAATCAGCAATCTCGAATTCCAGACCACATTTTTCAGATTTGGGCTATGACAACGTTATTCAAATTTGTCAGATTGTTTTGAAAATTTCAGGATCTACTGAACAAAAGTAGAACTGCATTTTAGTAGTTAACAACTTTTTCTAGCTACCGTAGTTTTTAAGATATGCGCCTTTAAAACTGATTTGTCGTCTCGGTGTCTTTCTTCTTACAAACTGAAGCTCTTTTTTTTTCGTTTAGTACCGTCATGTTTGCCGCACCACCTGCGCTTCAAACAGCTAGCTGGTGCGCCTTCGGCGCGATTTAACCTATTTACTTCAGTGTTCTTCAACAGTCACGTCAATTTATATATAATTTTCAAGCTTTTCAACAATTTTTTTATTCACGTAACGCTAATAAATTATTAAATGAATCAATATTAGGTCACGCCTCCTCCACGTTTCGAAAATTCCACGTACTGAAAAAAATCAGTTCTCCGTGAAATCCCACTCTTTGAATGTTTATTGTTGGATAATTTTCACTGGCACCTTCTCACTGGTAAGAAGCTCTTTGCATTACGCTGCTTATTGTTGTTTCTTTTGCTTTTATCTGTCGATTATGCGAGAAAAGTACTAAAAGGCCCTAAGGGTCGCCATGTTTCGGGGTTCATGGCTAGGTGTTTTATCACTGAACGTCCCCCAGTAGCAAGAGATTTTATCAAAGATTAAAAAAATTGAGACAACAATAAAAAGCGGTATACAATGTGGCTTCTTATCAGGGCAGAGGAAGCTTTCGAAAATTAACCGACAATGGTCTCCGAAAAGGGGGTTTTTCGGGTGACTTCTTATTCTTTTTTGTTGGGTGGGGTACCCCTGAGGTGATCCCATTGGTCAAATAAACCTTGTTTCCCTTTCATGTACTGAGCCTCTACGTGGCGAAAGGGATCAACAGACTTTCTGGTCTGGCTAATCAGTACACTATGTGACTTATTTTTCACAAAAGTCTCGAAATATGACACCTTTTCATCCGAGATACCGTATGGGCAGCTATAGGCAAAACTCCCACCCATTAATAAAAATTCTTCTGCTCCAACAGTTGCCCCCTTCCTCCTACCATAAACCATCGGATCTGTCAAAAAGTCATGGGCCATAAAATATTTCCTCATTCTTCCTTCTGCTGACCAGTCATTCATCCCAGGAGGTACCACAAGTTTACACCCTCTCCCTTGTCCTCTGCTCATTTGTCATTTTTCCCCCGTCCCCCCAGAAACTTTATTCTCTTGTACTCGGATCCTTGTAGTCATAAATCAATAAATTCCAAGATTTTCAGGTCACTAAAAGCTCCGTAAAACTCATAAGAAACTCGAGAAATTCCCGGATCTAAGGGAAAATAAATCTTCATTGAAGAGAGAAAAATTGGGGAAAAAATATGTACAGACATTGGAAAATTTGACTAAAAATGAAAAATTCTCGATGAAGCGAACTTGCTCCTGTTATTTCACACAATTCTCATTATGGTCCAAACCTCGTCGGCTGATTTTACAGGTGTACTGCACTGGCGATACAGTAAGACCCAGGACGCGCTGTAAAAAATTGTCTCGTTCTAGAGATTTCTAAATTTCTGGACATCCGGATATCAATACAAACAGACAGACACATAAAATTTTGAGAATTCAAGAAAAAAAATTCAAAAAAAATTTTTTCAGAATATTTTTCAGATTTTTTTTCAGATTTTCAGAAGGACATCCGGATTTCTCTACACACAGAAGAACATTGTCAAGTCACTCACCTCCGTCGTGACGTCTTCTGAAACTTCGAATTTGAAGTTTTGCATCAAATTCGCAAAAATTAAATACAATTCTGCTCTAGCCAGCGATTCTCCAAGACATTGACGTCTTCCAATTGAAAATGGTAGAAATTCGTCAATTTTTTTGACATTCAAATTTTCGTCCAAAAATCGCTCGGGACAAAAATCCTTTGGATTCTTGAAAATCTCAGGATCATTCATCAAAATTGAAATTTGCGGAATTGTCAAATCTCCCTTTTTGAACTGATATCCATCGATATCAATATCTTCTGCCACTGTTCTTAACAGGTTAATTGGAAGAATATTGGCGATTCGTTGAATTTCATTTATCGTCGCCTGAATGTACGGTAGCCTTGTGCGATGTTGAATTTCAACCATTGGCTGAGCAATACTATCCAGCTCTTCTTGAACTTTTCGTTGAACTCGGGGATTTTTCGACATGAGAAGGAACGCCCATTTGAGTGTGGTTACTGTAGTTTCCATGCCAGCAAAAAATAGGTCAAGGAGCAGCATTTTTAGTTGTTGGTCGCTGGAAAAATAGTCAACTTAAAAATTTTCGATTTGTCTGAAAATTTCAGAATATACTAAACATAAATAGAGCTTAATTTTTGTAGTTGACAACTTTTTTCTAGCTACCGTAGGTTTTGAGATATGCGCCTTTAAACAGACTGTGCCTGACAAACATTTTTCAGAACGTCAAACATTGGAGTCCTAAAAAAGTTAATTCAGAATTTATCGATTTGTTTGAAAAGTTCAGAATGTACTAAACGAAGACATAGCTTCATTTTTGTAGTTGACAACTTTTTTCTAGCTACCGCAGTTTTTGAGATATGCGCCTCTACCGACTGATTGTGAGCTAAGCGACAACGGGCGCCATCTGCCGGTCTATCTGGCTACTTTGACCCACTTTATCTTGATTCCTGTAAGATATATCAAAATGTAGTAAACTAGTAAAATGTTAGTGACGATATGATAAACATTTTATCAGTTTATCACTTTTTGATACCTGTTATAAGAGGCAAGATAATAAGGGCGAGTTCTGTCAAGTCCGCCTAAATAGCCCACCTGTTTGCTTTGAACCAATTTATCTCGTTTTCTGTGAAAGATATCAAAAAGTGGTTAATTGACAAAACATTTCTGACATTATGATAAACATTTTATCAGTTGACCACTTTTTGATATCTTTTACAGGAACTGAGATATATAAGCTTAAAGATGACAGCTAGGTCGACAGCCGGCGCGTTCAGCCGGTAGGAGCACAGGTCCTCTAGACTTCCAATTATTGGATAAAACGCCTTGATATCAGATTTTTCAGCTGAAAATTTTACAAAAACTCACTCAAAAAAGCCCACATCCTCTCCAGCTCTCTTCCTCTTCTCCACTTCAATCATATAAGCATAAGTCAAGTCCTCCGGCTCTTGCTCCATCATCTCCTCTTTCCAATTCTCCCTGTGTTTCTGTATCTGACCCTCCAAAAATTCCAACAACTCCTTCTTTATCCCCATTAATCTATTCCATTCTCCATTGATAAATGGGACTTTTGTAGTGACTGGGAAAGCGATGTAAGCTCCCATAATTGGTTGCATTACTGTATGAGACTGGTCATCCAGAAGACTATGAAGGCGGTGCATATAGGAGTTGTCCTGATTGAAACGAAGTCCAAAGAGCATGTTATTGATGATATTTCCTACACAGACAGCAATGGAGGGACATAGGTTGACTTCTTTTGTAGAGAGACCACAAGATTTTGCCATGTGGTTCATGAGAGTTGTTACCTGGAAATAACATGTAGAAATCATATAAGATATCATATCCAGCGAACCCAGGTGGCCTAGAAAAAACCAGACCATGCGCAACAAAATCAGTTTTGGTATAAAACTCCAACTACGCTCATATAGCTATGAAATAATTTACCTGTAATAGAAGGGCTCAAGTTTGAGCTTAATCATCTCCATCCCTACGAAAGATATAAAAAATTGGTCAACTAACAAACACTGCTGATATTATGATAAACAATTTATCAGTTGACCACTTTTTGACAGGAACCGCGAAAAATCGGCTCAAAGCAAAAATATCAATACACTTAATGCTCTGCTTACAAAAAAGTGCCACCCAAATCGTCAACTTTGAACTCATAAATTTCGGTTCCCGTAAAAGATATCAAAATTTTTTCAACTGTCGAAATGTTTTTGATATTATGATAAACATTTTATTAGTTGACCACTTTTTTATATCTCTCACAGAAACCGAGATATTGACGGTATGAGTGGCACACTATTTGATGGTCTATGGTATATGTATTCTTTAATGACACCCGACTGAGCTCCGCGGTATATGGTCTTGGAATTTGACACCTAACTTAGCCTCTTTTTTTGTCGACGGATCCTTATATCGCACGTTACCTTGCCGACGGCCCCTTTTATAAATCATAAACAATTCCAAAGTCTCAGCCTGTTTCGAGAGTCTGATTACAATAAAGAAACAGTTCCGATAAAGGGGGGGGGGGTTGGGAAAGATTTGAGAGGAAAAATAAACCTATCTTTGATTTGAGGCAAGTTGGCGGGTGTTATTGGGGGTCTCTGCTAAATTTGGGCTTTCGAAGGGGGTCCTAGCTTGCCTTAGCTGGCCTTATCATGTCCTGACTTGCCTTAGCTAGCCTCATCTAGCCCTAGCTTGCCTTAGCTAGCCCTAACTTGCACTAGCTTGTCTTATCTAGCCTTATCTTGCCCTAGCTTATCTTATCTAGCCTCACTTTGTCTTCATGTTGCTCTATCTTGCTCTATCTTGCCCTTGCTTGCCCTAGTTTGCCTCAGTTTGCCCTTGCTTGCCCTAGCTTCCTCTATCTTGCCATAGCTATAACCGAAATTCCCGGCATTTGATTTTCCTACCTCCAACGTAATCATCTGTTCCATGAGCGGCCTTCCAACCCCAAAATCCCTCAATGTATGCAACGCGAATCTCCTCTGCTCCCTCCACTTGTCCCCATCGATTTGAACAATCCCATTGGAGCCTTCTGAAAGAAAAAAGAATAATAGAGTAGCAGAAGCATCAAAGGCGCCCATGCGTTATAACAACCGCTCACTTTTTTGGAATTTTCTGAAGAAACGGAACTAAAGAAAGGGTCAATTATGTTCCATTTTTCTTCACATCTTCCTACTTTTTTTCTGGACATCATTAAGCTAAAATGACTCACCCATTATCGAATCGGTCACGAAGTTGCGCCACCGGTTGGAGAAGGCGTCGGCGTGTTGGATGAAATATTTTTTGATTGTTGGAAGATCGGATACCTGGAAATATAGTTAAGTTGAATGATGGTGAATGATACTAGGGGTTCTGCGTCACGGAGCTATGATACACGCACCGACTGTCGGCCTAGCTGCCTACTTTGACACAATTTATCTTGGTTTGCTCAAGAGATACTGAAAAATTGTTAACTAACAAAATAATGGTGACATTATGATACACATTTTGTTAGTTGACCGATTTTTGATATCTTTTACAGGAAATGAGATAGCTCGGGTTAAAGTTGACAGCCTGACCGGCAGCCGGCGCTTGTGACTACGCAGGTGAGAACTTTAGGTAACATTTGACGACGCTTTGTAGTTTGAAACTTTTTGAAACTGTTTTTTTTTAAATTTTGGAATTCCCGAATTTTATAGATTCAAAAAGTCAAGATTCCCTAAAAATGAGTTTCAAAGCCGAAATTCGAAAAATTCGAAAAATGCTCACCAAACGCTTTGTCTAAAGGCGCATATCTCAAAAACTACAGTAGCTAGAAAAAAGTTGTCAACTACAAAAATTCAGCTCTATTTTCAAAATTTTACATCTGAAATTTTTAGACAAATCGAAAAACTTTGAATTACTTTCTCGGGACTTCAAAACTATGCTATTTCGATATTTTTCGTGAAATATAGTCTTAAAAATCAAAATTTCTGAATAAAAAAAAACTCACCATAACCAGAGGAATTGGACCAATCCATACCGTAAAAATGCCACCGTATCTTTGTTTCCAATATAAAAATAGGTCGTCGACGTTTTTCACTGAAAATAGGAAAAAAAATGAATTCGCTGGCCTAGAAATCCATTTGTTAGGCCGCATTTATTTTACTGAGAACTTTAAAATATGAGCTTGAAAAGCACTTAAAGTTCGTGGCCTAACTTTTCGATGGTGGCCTAGAAACCCGAATCAGCCCTTACCATTGATAAAACTTGGCATATTTCCGGCCACCAGCCATGGCATTGGTCCATTTGGTAGCCGACGTCTTTTATAATTCGATTCATAGAAGATATATGAAATTGTACAGAAGAATAGGTAGATGTAGGTTGTCTGAAAAGTTTGGAATGTGGGAAAAAAACAATTTTTCGAAATTTCGAAAATTCCAGAAATTTCATATAATTCAGAAATTTCAGATAATTCGAAACTTAGAACTTCACAACTTCAGAAATTCAGAAATTCAGAAATTCAGAAATTCAGAAATTCAGAAATTCAGAAATTCAGAAATTCAGAAATTCAGAAATTCAGAAATTCAGAAATTCAGAAATTCAGAAATTCAGAAATTCAGAAATTCAGAAATTCAGAAATTCAGAAATTCAGAAAATCAGAAAATCAGAAATTCAGAAATTCAGAACTTCACAAATTCACAACTTCAGAAATTCAGAAATTCAGAAATTCAGAAATTCAGAAGTTTCGAAAAGTTCAGAATCATCCAAAATCCCTGGACATTCGGATACACAGACAGACAATTCCTCCCTACCGTGTAGCTATCCATTTCAAAACTTTTCATAATCCGAAAATACAAAAACGATGTGACAACTGAGAGAAGAATGGCATATTTAATCGACGGCATTTGCCAGGGATTTTCTTCTGAAAAAATCACATTTTCATACAAATTGTTGTATGGGTGAATGACACTTATTCTTTCTAGAAGTTTCTAGAAAACGCGAGAGAGAGAGAGAGAGAAAGAGAGAGAGAGAGGGTTAGAGAAAAGTAGAGAATCTGGAGAAAGAGGAGGATCAATGAGTAAAAGTATACCGACCGGTTAGATTGGAATGGACAAGCAGTAGAAACTTGAGGAACAAATTGATACATTCGGATTCTCATTTGGGGAAAAAGAAGATTTGGGAAGGAAAGAATGTTCTGGAAGATTCTAGAAGTTTCTAGAAGCTTCCAGACACTTTTAAAGTATTCTAGAAGCTAAAGTCTTCAAAGAATTTTGAAAAAGGAGTTCTGAAAGAGAAAAAATTAGTTTGAAAGTTATGGAAAAAGGTCTAGAAAGTTCTAGAACTTTTCAGGAAAAATAGGAAAACAATTTCAAAATTTCGTTGTTTCAAAAGGGACAACTTTCTTCACTATTGAGCCAGAGACATAATTTTTGGCTTATTTCAAAACAGATCTCATGAATTTTCATCTAACATAAAATTTCGACAAATCGAGGGATAGAAATTTGAAACATTCAAAATTTTTTGATTTTCCAGGAAAAATGAAAATATAAGTTTAATGCCACTTTCAAGCCAATTTATCTCGTTTTCTGTGAAAGATATCAAAAAGTGGTCAACTGATAAAAAATTATCATTATATCCAAAATTCTTTATCAGTTGACAACCTTTTGCTATCTCTTACAGTAAATGAGATAAATCGCATCAAAGTTGATGAACCCATTTTTATAGGTTGTCCAAAATAAGTTTTCAGGGATTTCTAAGAAAATTATAAAAGGCTGAAAGTTTCAAATTCTCTTATAGCCGCCGAAAGAGTTCTCAACTTCCTACAGTTCCGTATAAAAATCGTCTTTCTAGCTAGTCTAGAACCCGAGATACAGTCATTTGAAGTTTCGAAGAGACGCAGACAGCTAGAGTGTCTCGTTGTTTGCGTCCCTAGTCGCCTGCAATTTAAATTCCTATATCTCGACTCCTGGACAACCTAGAAATGTGATTTTTTTGGCAGTTTTCAAAAGGAAACAAGGGAAAAATGAAGTCATATAAAACAATGAAACCGAAAATTAAAAAGAGAAGATTCTCAAACAAAAAAATCTCTACCATATGAGTTCAGAAGCCTTTTCTTGGTTGTTGATGTGGGAGAGCGATGGAATCTAAATCGTCGGGACTAGCTTCCTCTAGATTCCCTCCTCCCCCATCTTATTCCTCTTCTTCTACTAGGAGACATCGGAGGACAGAATTGTGTCATCGGTGAGGATACTGTTGGAAATAGTATGAATTCTAATGCTAGGGATCAAGAGACACAGAGATAGAAAGGCAGATAAGCCAATGTGGAACGAAAGTAGGAGAAGAAGAAGAGGAAAATTGAGGGAAATTGAAAGGGAGGGAGGGAAAGTGACAAAAAGTTCGAATGGGTCACGGTTGTTTCTCGGTGCGAGGAACAAAAGGAATTAATAGATAGATTAGGATAACGGGAAAAAAAGTCGGTTTTTGGCTAGAAAGGTAGAACTAGTCCGTTTTGCAAATGTCGGGAATTTCGGTCATGGTTAGGGCAAGGTAGGGTGAGAAGAAGACAAGGTGAGGATAGATAAGGAAATCTAGTGGAAGTTATAGCAAGATATAAGTTAGATGAAGCGAGCTAGGGCGAGATAAGGCTAGCTAAGGTAAGCTAAGACAAGCTAGAGTACTCAAGGGAAAGATAAGACTAGCCAAGGCCAGCAGGGGCAAGATAAGTCTAGTTAGGGCAAAACAAGGCAAGCTAGGGCAAGATAAGTCTAGCAGACGTCGGCAACATAAGGCTAGCAAGGGCCAGTTAATACAAGACACAGCATTTTAGAGCAGCATAAGACAAGATAAGGAAAGGTAGGGCTGGATAAGGTCTGATAGGACAAGCTATGGTAAGCTAGAGCATTAATAAGGTAAGCTAAGACAATCTAGAGCGAGTTAAGACTAGTTAAAGCAAGATGAAGGCAAAGTTGTGCTAGATAAGTCAAACTATGGTAAGATAAGGTTAGCTATGGGAAAGGGCAAGCTAATCAAGGTAAAATAAGTCCAGCTAAGGCTAACTAAAACAAGCTAGGAAAAGCTAAGGCGAGCTAAGGAAAGCTAAGGCAAGCTAGGGCAAGTGAAGGTTAGCTAATAGTAAGACAACATAGAAGGAGAGAGATAAAGTTAGCTAGAAAAATATAAGGCAAGCTTAGACAGGATAAAGCTAACTAAGGGCACCTAGGGCTAGTTGAAGCAAGATACTACCAGCTAAAGATAGCTGGTGCTAGTTAAGGCAAGCTAGGGTAAGATAGGGATAGCTAAGGCAAACGGAGAAAAATAAAGACAATGCTAGCTAAAGTACCGTATTTTCTCTCATGGAGGTCCATGGGCTTCTATTTTTCAAACAGAGGTGGACTTGTATTAGAGAAAATACTGTAGTAATGCGGATCGAAGCTAGTTAAAACAAAATAAGGCAAGCTAAAGTAAACTAAGGGGACTACAGTAAGCTGTGAGACAAGCTTGGATTATCTTGAGCAAGTTAGGATTACCTAGAACTAGTTAAAGCTAGCTAAGACAATCTAAGGCTATGTAAGATCAGCTAAAGCAAGTTAGGGCTAGTTTGAACCTTCTCGAATCTTTCACACATACTCAAACTACGCAATATCCCTCTGATGCTACAAAAAATGACGATGCGACAAAACTGGACGTCATGGATGTGTTGTTTCTTTTGTCTAGTAGACACATCTGGATATATTGGCTACGTCAAGTGGTTTAGAAACACTGGATGAGTAGGGGACTTTGGTACAGGACACAAAATTCACAAGAAGAGATTAGATCTAGGGACCAGGTGTTTGTCTGCAATTTGGTGCCATGGTGTTTGCAGAAACTGCTGTTCCAACTTCGACTCAATTTATCTAGATGTCTGTGAAATATGTCAAAAAGGGGTCAACTGATAAAATTTTTATCAGTAAATTTTGAACATTTTATCAGTTGACAACTTTTTTTATATATTTTACAAGAACCTAGATATATTAGGACGAAGTCAAGGGTGAATGTGTAGCTATCCAAAACCGTAATCCCATCGTTTCATTCTAACAGTCACCGATGCATAAAATTTCAAATCTCCCGCCACTTTTCGTTTCCTCCAAAACCACTATTCTTCATTTGTAACTGATCAGTCACACGTCAGCAATTCTTTTGATGTCATCTGTTTGTCGTATAAATTGGATTTTCTTTTTTATGTTATTCCAGGGGAATCCCCTGGAATAATGAAAAAAAGACAATGAAAAAATGGGAAATCAGAAATCAAAAGGGCTTGATAAGTAACAGATTTATTTTGGGATTTTCTGAAAAATACATAGACAGTGAGACCCCAGAAGGATCCAGAAGAGTCGTTGTAGAATCCTAAAATCTAAAAATCGAACATATCCATTTTGAAAGATTGAGATATTGAGAATTTGTTTTTCTTTGAATTTTCAACAAAATTTGATTTTTGAGAGATTCTGAGATTCTGAGACTCTGAGATTCTGTGATTCTGAGATTTTGAGATTCTAAGATTCTGAGATTCTGAGATCCTGGATTTCTGAAATTCTGAAATTCTAAATAATAAAAATTCTGAATTTCATAATTTTTCGGAATCCTGAAATTCTGAAATTCTAAAATTCTGAAATTCTGAAATTCTGAAATTCTGAAATACTGGAATCCTGGATTTCTGAAATTCTAAGTAATAAAAATACTGAATTTCGTAATTTTTCGGAATCCAATGAAATTATGAAATGCTGAAGTTCTGAAATTCTGAGATTCTGGGATCCTGGAGGCCTGAAATTCTGGAAGTTTGAAATTTCGAAATGTTAAAATTTAAAAATTTGCAGAATTTTAAAAGACATTTCTGAGTTTCTGGTTCTTTGAACTTCAGAATTTCAGAATTCTAAAGCTTTGAAATTGTGAAATACTGAAATCCTGAAGTTCTGAAGTTCACAAATTTTCTGAAAACCCATAAATTCTAGAAAAAAATCAGAGAAAAACACAAATTTTCTGGCTTTATCTGTTCATTTTTTCCCCAATTTCGCTATAAAAATCCACAAGTGTTCTCTCAGAATTTTCCCGAATAATCCTTTTCATTTTTCTTCTGTTCATCGGATTTCATTATCTTCTTCTACTTCTTCTTTTCTTTTATTTTCAATTATTACTACCAAGTATTATACTTAAGCCACCCCAGTCACCGGCTTCTCCCATCTCTTCTTTTTCTTGCTCCACGAGCAAAAAAGTGGGCGGAGCTTAAATATTCCGAGAAAAAGAAGAAGAAGATGAATATGGGAACCTTCTTTCTTCTTCTTTTTCTTCTGAAAAAAAAGTAAAGAAGAGCCAAAAATGTATGTTTTTGACGGAACGCGTCTCGCGTTCCGTCACTCACTTTTTTCTCCTTTTTTAGGTTTTTTTCCAGAAAAAAGAAGAAAAATAAAACCTTCTTCTTCTCTCCTTTTTTGTTTGTTTTCATGGAGATTCGATTTCTGAATCAGAAATAATATTTTTTTGAGAAAACCTGAAAAGTTGTTGTTTTTCGAGACGGTTCTCTGGAAATCTGAAAATAGAAAAATGAAATAGAGATCAGAAATCTCAGAATTAAAGATTTTCAAAAACTCAAAGTTTCAAGAATCTCAGAATCTCAGAATCTCAGAATCTCAGAATCACAAAATCTCAGAATCTCAGAATCTCAGAATCTCAAAATCTAAGAATTTTCGAATTTCGATGCATTTGTTCAAACATCCCTTTTTCCTTTTTTCGATTTTTTTCAAAACCAGGACCTGAAAAATCTGATTACCTAAAAAAAACCATACAGGAATCAGAAAAAAAAATATTTTTTGATAATTTCACCTGTTTTTTCATGATTCCTTTTATTCAACTCATATTTGTTCATTTTCCATTTCCATTTTAACCCATTTTTCTTTTTTTTCCTTCCCGTCATAAGAACAAGAAGAGAAGAGAAAAGACCTTGATAACATCAGCAAATGCGCTCCATGGAGAACTGTACGGAAATGGAGAGAAAAAAAGCGATTTATTGTTCTGTGTTTCTGCTTTCTGTTCTTTTTTCTTTTTCTTTTTTTTAAACAAAAATTTTAAAACTTCACATTTGGACTACTGTTTGAAAGAAAGGCAAAATTCGAAACTTCAGTATAAATTTCTCGAAAAAATAGTTTTTTTGGAAGTTTTCGAGAATTGATATTACATTTTTATTTTAAAAATTATTAAAAAAAAAAAAAGAAAAATGCAAAATTTGAAATTCTGAAATCATGAAACTCCACAAAATTTTGAAACAATCAGAAATCCAAAAATTTTTAATTTTTGAATATTCATCAAAACTGAAAATTGGAAAATGTTCCAAATTCAAAATACTCTAATATTCAAAAAGTTCTCAAAATTCAAGAATTTCAGAAAGTTCCGAAATTCCGAAAATCCTTTTAAAATTTCAAGAATTAAAACTTTTTCCATCTAATAACCTCATACCGTTAAACTTGTAATAGAAGGGCCTCCACACTGTAAATTTTCAGCTCAATTATCTCAGCTCCTATAAGAGTTATCAAAAATGTGTCAACGGATAAAATTTTGGTGATATTATGATAAACAGTTTATCAGTTGACAAATCTCTTATATCTTTATCAGGAACAGAGATTAATTGGCTCAAAGTTGAAAATTATGGAGCCCTTCTATTACAGGTTTTACGGTATGTACAACCCCCTTTTTCCATGTTTTCACCCCTCACCCGAAAATACGAAAAGGAAGAGAAGGAGCTAAAACAAAAAGGCAATTTCAGCCACTAACAAAAAAATGGGCATTCATTGTTGATTAGTTTTTTTTCTCTGTGTAGAAGAGTAGTACTAGAGAAGGCTTGTTTATTGAAAAATGGAAATTGAAAAAAAAGAAATGTTGAAAACGAAAAAAGAAGAAGAGGATGTTTCTGACTTTTCGCTTTTCTCAGCGTCTCTCTCACTGAGAGAGAGAGAGAGACACAGAGACCCGCTATGCGGGGCCACTGGAGGAGCTCATGAAGCTCTGTCTCCCAAATGGTCTAGTTTATAAGATTTCTTTCCAGGTTACGGTACATTTTTTCAGTGCGTGGACGAGGACGGCCAATGCAAGGAAGGTCATCTCCTCCAAAATCACCAACCAGTCCACCACATGGAGGCAGACGAGGCAGTGTGGCATCAACCATCCCATCCCGAAGGCATACAGTATCCCAAAGTGAATTGTTGGCAACCATCCAGGCTCAGCAACAGCAGCAAGCCGCTTTCCAGTCACTACGGAACTTTAGGTAGACTTGATGTTTAGGGTACGTATTATAACATTGAAACTTCCAGATTCAACCCTCTCCAGTCAATTTTCCCGACAGTGTTGGCCGCAAACAACAACAATAACTCAGTGCTTTCGGCCAACAAGCATGCTGTTAACAATTTCATGATCAANGTAATAATACGCATGCTTCATAGATCATTTGATAAGAAAACTAATATTTC